CTGAATATGACGTACATGGGATGGAATACTCTGTTGGTCAGGTTTGGGTCACCTGTATGGTTCGCTCCTCCCTGCAGGTGTGACCTTTCTCGTGCTTGTGACCTTTTTCACTCCCAGCACCCCAACACGGAGTACGAGATCTAGCAGTGACCTTGGTCGCTACAAGAACAAGTATAAGCAAGGGCCCCTCTGCATCCCATTCCTTGGTACTCACTACAAACATCAGGCCTTATCACTGCTAGGAGCAGTCACTGTCTGGAAAAACGTGCTGCTGTTTCAGAAAGTGCAGTTAGTTAGAGGAGACTTAACTGAAAATTAAAGCACTAAAGCAGAATTAATTCTAGTTCAGCCCAAACCAGGGCAGAGACACAGTTTACTTCTTTGAAAATCCCTCTAAGGGCTCTTAAAAGATTTATTTCAGCCAAAATCTACTGTTTAAATTAATTTTATATTGTAAAGACACACAGATGATTTTTTTCATCAACTGACCAAACAAATCACGTCTCAGATTTAGCAATGTGAATCACACATTCAATGACAACTAAAAATTTGGCATTTGCATTCAAAAACGATAGGTGCTCAAAGCAGATCTAAAGCACATTCCAAATACAAAACTGCAATATTCATACATAGTCCGTGCTGAAACCCTAGAGGGCAAAACTTCCCTGCAGGATCTGTGACACAGCCTCTGAGGCTGGGGTTACACCAGGCTCCCGCTGCCCATTCACAAGCCAGCCTTCAGCCTGGGGTACAGACCCCACCCAACCAGGCTCCCAAAACCCTTCCTGGCCTGCACACAGCTCTGCCTTACCCCACTGAGCGGTGATGAGGTACACAGAAGTTCATTGGTACTAGACCAAGAGCTACCTTCCAGTAAAGACTGAGGCTTACTCCTTTCTAATCCTCTGTTTCAGCTCAAAAATCAAACAGGATGTCTTAAAATACCTGCAGTTGAAGTGAACCTGTTTGACTTTATCCTGGACACCATGAAGGAAATACCTCACACAGCCGGTATTGTTTCAGCTGGTAGGAAGTGATTGCTAAATAAAAGATCAGTGCAGTGTCTGCCGTCACTCATCTGGGATTGAAATCCTTAATCTGGTCACAGAACCAGCAGGCTAACAGATCTGTGCAACAAAACTGAGGGCTAGGCCATACAAGCAGGAGTATTCACTTGTGCAGATGATTTTCTCTGCTAGAGGAAGGAGCAGAGGCAGGACTGGAACTCCAGAGGGGAGAGGGTAAGGCAAGTACAGAGGTGGCAGCCTTAATGAAGACGAGACACAGGGTATAGCTGCACACCTAGAGAATGAGAACAAACTGCCTCTCCAGCCATACATTCAAGCGGGAGGACCTTGCCAGTTTGATTTATCTCCACTCAGGAAAGTCCGTCTGCTTCCCCACCAGCAGCTGCCTGACAGCAACCCGAGTTATAACAAGCATGTCAAAAATAGCACTGTGCTTATTACTCCACAGAAAAAAAAAAATTGTTTGCTCTTAAACCCAAGAAGCTCCCCTCCACAATCCCCCGAAGCACACATTAAGCAGAATACAGCCTACATCATTAAAATAGTAAAGAAATACAAACTGACTGTTCATTCTGGATTCATTTCTGGATAAATGTAATTATGAACCTCAAAGAACTTTCCTCTACATCCATCAATTTTGAAGTAGCACTAACCTGAACGCTAACATACTTGATACTGAAATCTAGACCCCATTTATCCAATACAACAAAAAAATTAATGGAGAGAAGCATCTGGTTTTCAGTGGGCGTATTACTAGCTTAATGGAAATATTTTTAAAGTACAAGGTTATTAATGGCATATTATTTGGTAAGCTTTGATCTGTACATCTTACCAAGTCTCACTGTCAACGCAGGTGAAAAGAGAAGAAGCACCGGTACTTCCCTCCCACACCTCTGTAGTCCCTGACCTGAGCAACAGAATACTTTTCCCCTAATAATAATCATCACCCCACTGTACTTTTCCAGAAAACTAAGTTTTCTGTCAGGTTGAGCTCTTCTTAATGGATTTTAGCACAGTACAAGGTAGCGTAATTACTTTTAAAATAATAAATCCTATTCCCCATGCCCAAGTTACCACAACAGGCATCTATCACAATCTGTGGGCAATTACAGAACGCGGACCCCATCCTGGCTGAAGCTGGACAAAGGTTATGCTCCATATCGACGGAGGGGGCTTCAACAGGCAACAGACTGCAGGACTGGTACTGTAATTATTTCCATCCTTGAAATAAGAGACATTTTAAAAACACAAGCTTTCAGCGCAACTAATTCTTGCATCTGTCATCACATGTTATTGCCAAGCAATACGCAACCAACTGTAGCTAATCACATATAAATGGCATCTGTTACGCAATCGGCAATATTTCCTCCCATGCCCACATCGTAAAGCATGATAGATGAGCACCACTTTAAGAGGAATGCAAGGCTACTGAAAATACATATGGAAAAGTAAATTCTCATTTACTTCACTAAAACTTGGAAAATTTCTTAAATAGAACTATTTTCTTTCCAATCTGTGCATTTGCATTCTCTTATACTAAAAATAAAATAATCAGGTTTACTTTCAGTTATTTAGGTCCTACAATATGTCAGTTACAGACAGCAGTGAAATACTTCTTTGTTCCAACAACTTTCTCTTTGTGAATTAGTCAGACTGACATTCTGTCTTTTTACTTACAGAATCTTCATGAAGCCTTGGTGCTGACTTCAGTGTACAATTTCTTTAAAGTTACATGTTAAAAGCCCGTTTTCATTAAGTATCAGATGTTAAAAGCAACATGAATTGGCACAACAAAAGTAATTTTATAGAAGAATTTACAGGATATGGTGAGTTTACAGAATACTTTGGTTAAATTTACTAAAAGACAAGTTACATTGACAAAGACCACACTACAAAAACCATTTACAGTTTTATTGTTTTTAGGATTTCCTTTAGCATTTTCAGCATTCACAATATAAAAGATGAAGACCCTCCGCCCTCAAGAAAACAGACGACCACAGACACTTCAGCTATTCAAAGGCACTCAGCTTGCTTTTTGTATTTTCTTTAAGTTTGGCTGACACCAAGTTGCTATTGCTTTCATCATTTGCTGGCTTAACAGTCTACTAAAAAGTTCATGCAACACAATAAATTATGCCCAGTGGCCAAGCACAAAAATATCATGTACTTATTTGGGATATTTATTTTGTAAGTAAAATATTCATGATCTTACAAAACTCCGATTTTACCAGACTAGGCCTTTGGCCAATTTTGTTTTTTTTTTTCCTTTAACACGCTGTGCCTTCATCTTCTTTCTCTGCCTGGAATTCATCCATATTGGGTACTGTCCATGCTGGTCTAGAAGAGTTTTTTTGTTTCGTTTATTATCTACGTCCATTTTGCAGTCATCTGAAAAAGAAAGGTATTTATAGTGAGTAAAAATACAGGAATCTGCTTCACAGAAGCTATTCTACAGAAATGATACGACAACATCCCTACGCACAACAGTATCTGCACACAGAGAGCTGAAGGCCATATACACTGAAAGCACTTTCCAAGCCAATCCCACTGCAACCCAGAACTTCAACAGCTGACAGTACATACGCAGAATTTTCCCTGAAGGCTCATGTCTGGGCAAAGCACCTTATTCTTTAGTCTGCCATCTGTTCCAGCACTGTGTCTAAAAATGTTGTGTGTGGTCTCCATCAAATGCTGCACCCATACAGGAAGCCATAGGCTTGCTGAAACATATGCACAACTAAACACTTTTCATGATGTAATGTTTAAGATCTGTTCTAAAAAATTAAGTTCACTTGAGTGGAAGAAGACAATAGGCAGAGAGAAGAATAAAGAGAAAAGATGAGATACAATGATGGCTCAAAGTATGAGCCACTGATGCTACGCTTGCCTCAAAAAGTGAGCACGAGGTCAAGGCCAATATATTCAGAGACAGAAATAGAGGATTAATCTCTAGGGTCAGGAAGACTCCCAAGAACGATGGCCCAAGCTAGCTAACACCACCTGAATGTCACGTCTCAGTAAGAAAAGAAGGCTACAAGGGGAACGCTTTGTTAACTACAGCTTTGAACTGTGCTCTACCATTTAATTTCAACCTTGTTTCCAAACCATGCATGTGCAACTCTAAAAGCTTCATCATGAGCTTTTACAGTGAGGAAAAAAGACTTTGTTCTGTTGTGCGTGTCTGATGTTGGGAGACAAAGCTCAGGAGGGAAAGGCCAACGTGCCGCTTCAACAGCCTAAGCATGCTGATAGTCTAGAGGGATCTGCACCACAGAGCTGTGCTTAGGGAGCCCTGAAGTTGGGATACAAATAGGTACAGTCAGCAGGGAATCAACACAGGGGCCGGCTGGCACAATCGAAGGCTGATCCAGCATGGGACAACGCAGCAAAAAAGCCCGAGCTCCAGAAGCCTCCTGAGGCATCTGGGAAACACAACACGAGTCCTGCTTAACAGCATTGTTTTCCAAGCGTCATAGAAGAAGAGATGGTCTCCAACAATACAACTCAAAAAAACCCAAGACCCCAAGAAAACCAACTCTACACAAGCTTCTTCTCCGATTCTTGTCCTAGCATATGACTGATGAGATGGTCTCCAACAATACAACTCAAAAAACCCCAAGACCCCAAGAAAACCAACTCTACACTTCTCCGATTCTTGTCCTAGCATATGACTGAGGTTAATCTGTTACAGTAATTTTGACTGCACAAAAGCACATCCACAATAAAACGTCAGCTGCAATATCCATGAAATGAAGAAATACTCCTGGACAAAAAATACCAGTCATTCACACAGCACAATGTTTTCATCATACTTTGTAATCTCAAGGATGCTGTAGAAATCAGTAATGGGAATAAACCTACTGAAGTGGTGCAAGGACATATAGAAAACCCACCAAAGAGGTTAAACACAAAGAGAAAAGGATAAAACGTCAGCTGCAATATCCATGAAATGAAGAAATACTCCTGGACAAAAAATACCAGTCATTCACACAGCACAATGTTTTCATCATACTTTGTAATCTCAAGGATGCTGTAGAAATCAGTAATGGGAATAAACCTACTGAAGTGGTGCAAGGACATATAGAAAACCCACCAAAGAGGTTAAACACAAAGAGAAAAGGACCAAGTTTAAAACAGACCTTCCTATTCTTTTTTCCTAACAAAAACTGGAGAAAAAAAACCCAAAAAACAGCATGCTGAGAAAAATACCTTAAAGTACCCCCCCCAAAAACCAGCATGCTGAGAAAAATACCTTAAAGTACCCCAGGAAAATACCCCTAACACACCTATATACCTTCTTCAGCTGGAAAATTATTCACCTGTCCATGGAAAGTGCATTCTAGATGACGCCTTCAGCTGCTTCAGTCCCCTACAACGTTCTGCAATGTTAACTCCCTCATGTCCACAAACAGTGCTGAAGAGTCCTCTCAAAGACGACACCATTATTTTCACAAAACTTGTAGTTGTTTTGTGAAATATATCTAAACTTTGGTATTTCTGAGGCTGCTATCTCTCTACAAAGGCTGAGTGAAATTGGCCACTTGTAGAAAAGTTGCCAGCAAAGTTGGAAGGGGGTGCAGGAATGATAGATAGCCAGGCATTTGCTTCAGAAACTGGGTTTAAGACAACATTTCCTCCAGCATCAGTATCAGAAGGCTGACAACGTCCCAAAACATTTTGGAAAATCAGCCCTAACAATCCCATAAAGAACAACTTTTTTTTTTTTATGGAACAAATCAGAACCACAGATAAAATTACAAATTATACTCCAAGCTACCCTTAATTGGGCAAGTATTTTTATACAGCATTCTATTTCCATTTTTAATACAGTTTACAGGCTCTGCTGTTCAACCTCACAACACTTCCCTGTCTTTCCTAGTTTCTGAAACACTGACGAAACTGGCTGTGTGACTGACAGTGACTACTAGCATTATTCTATATCCCCACTGTATTGTCTCAAGAGATTTCTGCATGCCACATAAAAAGCTTACATCAGCAATACCGTAACAGCTTAAGCGGCATAAATTGGAGAAGAATAAAGGACTATGATTTAGTTTGGACTGCAGTTTTGGAAAGAGAAGGTGTCTTTCTGACTCCTGTCCAATATGTAGCTATTTAAAACCTTTGTTTCCATTTCCTGGGTTATTTCCTTTACAGATTACATCCTATGCAAGGAACAGAGAGGAAGACAGCAGCATGTGTACCCACTTAATCACAGAACCATAGAATGATTTGTGTTGGAAGGGACCCCAAAGACCATCTAGTTCCAGCCCCCTTGCCATGGGCAGGGACACCTTCCACTAGACCAGGTTGCTCAAAGCCCCACCCAACCTGGCCTTGAACACTGCCAGGGAGGGGGCAGCCACAGCTTCTCTGGGCAACCTGCTCCAGTGCCTCACCCCCTCACAGTGAAGAACTTCTTCCTAATATCTAATCTAAATCTCCCCTCTTGCAGTTTGCGTTAATGCCACCCACTCCTGCACCATGTGCAATGCAGAATTAACTAGCATACAAAAACAGGGTCCCTAATACCCCTACCTTGAGAGGGTACATTTAAAAAGGAAAAAAATAAATCACTCTATTCTTGATAAAATCTCTATAAAATTAATTTAGATTTAAGTTCAACTTTTATATATTTACTGACCCCCTTAAACTAGGAGGGAAATTATATCCTATCTCCAATTTAACAGCAAATACAATGCTGTGAGTGGAACTGCTAAGTGATGAATGCACACTCACCTATCCTCACAGAGAGATGTCTCTCTATAAGATACTACATACTTTGAATCAAACGTTAATAAGCTTGTTCCACAAGTGAGCAGATGCAATACAGAAGCTAATGTGAGATGACCAGATTCAATGATTTAATAGAATCTTTTAGCTTTAAAAGATACAGATTTGTTTTTCCAACTCACTATTCTGGACCTGGAATAATCCTAAATCTGATCATGATAGTTAAAAGTCACAGGAACAACAACAAATAATACCGCAGGACGTCTCTGCACTTGGGCGATTGCAACAGGAAAAACTGGTGTAGTGGAAAACACGCTAGAATCACGACGGGGGGAGGAGTGCGGAAGGAGAAGGCGGGCAATCAGAAGGCAGGTCTCAGGCAACCCAGGGCCCGCTGACACCCGATGCAGGCGCCTCGGCCTCCCGCGGGGCCCGGTCCGGTTCGTCGGCGGGGCCCTCCCCGAACGCCAGCGCCGCCCAGCGGTAGCCCAACTCACCCCCCTGCTCGAGGACTTTCTTGGGGGGCAGCACGGTCGCCACCTCCTTGACCTCCTCCATGACGACATCCGCGTTAGTTCCCAGGATCTTCTTCAGCCTCTCCAGCTCCTTGGGCGCGTTCTTCTTCCTCTTCTCCGCCCGCATCTTCCGCCTCCATTTGCTCCTCAGGCTCTTCGCCATGTCCTGAGGGAAGAGGGAAACGGTGAGGGCGAGGCAAGCGCAGGGCAGAGACGCCGTGGCGGCGGCACG